TGCCTGATAATGATGCTGAGAGCACCAAGTGGAGTGACAAGTATGGCTGGTGCAAATGCATAAGCAGCAAAATTAGCAATTTCCCCCACGACCACTGTTGCAAAGTTGATTAACAGTTAGAATCAACTACTTTTTCATCTAGAATCATGAACCATAAGCAAAAACTCAACCATCTCACTAAATGTTTAAAAAGGCAGCAGAGTCTGATGACTTCCGGAGCATTGAGCTGTAAGCATGGAATATAACTAAGAAAATCATATATTTATAGATGCAAGATATATTATTGACAAGAATACCTCATTTTTAATTGGTTTAACATAGCTTTTATAACATCATCTTTTAAGGATAATATTTGGAAAATATGCTAAAAATGAGAAAAGGAATTAAAAAAACCCATAAGATCTCGAGTTAATTATCAACGAGAAATCCAAAAAACTCACTTGTTATCATGCCAGCCCACCAAAGTGGCTCAAGCAGATATGAATACCCTCCGACTCCTGATTAAAAATACAGAAAAGCTAATGTCATTCGGATTGATAATGCAAAAGAACAATAAAAACTCTTCATTAAGGAATAAAAAGGAGAAGAAACACTAAATGATATGCATTTATGAGTTCTTTAGATAATAGAGATACAACAAAAAAATGTATAATTACAAATGAAACAGAAAATTTTATGCAATACAAACAGAATTATATGAATAGAAACAAAATTGTTATATAGCAGCTAAACATACATGCAAATCCTAATATCATCTGGAATTTGGAAAACAGAAAACATATCATTTACTCCAATTGCATTCTAAACACCTATTATATCTTTCTTTCAAACATTATGCAAATTTGTGCACAAACAAACTTGGCCAGATTGAGGAATTTCGTAAACAATTTAGTTTAAGATACATACATTCAAGGATGACATAAACACAGGATCAAAAGGATGCATAATAAAATATGATGAATGGAATCGAAAGTAACCAGGGGATTCGATAAACAGAACTGGTAAACTTCATGAAGAAAAAGAACATGCAGCTTATATACTAAATACAAGTTCACATACTAGATTGACAAGAGCTCAAATCAATTAATTCACGCATAGATGAATTAGAATCAAAGGTCAAATAAATTTCCATCATTTACACCTCACTGAAAGTCTGAAATTGAGCGAACTATTATTTACAGAATCCCAGATCACAGCACGTTGTTTAAACCTAATTGATATTTCCAATTAAAAGAAAGAAAGAAATCCGAAATCAAATCATCAAAAAAGAAGTTTTTTTTATAAATTGCAGTACCTGCCCTGACGCCAGAAGCACCGGCTTTTTTCAACCCTTTTTTCTTAACAATGAAGCTTGCCCCAATAAATTAACTTGAAGAAATGGCTAAAACCAAACCCTTAACATTATCCGAGGACATTCCCTCGCTCCATCTTCGCACAGCCGACATGCTCTAACCCTACACTTGAAAAGGAATCCAAATTCTGAGGGGGAAATAACTCTATTCTACGTCGTCACAACTCGGAAACGATCGTCGATTTGGTCTGAGCTCGGACTGGGTCTAAAAAAACGAGTTCATTGATCTGAGAAAAAAACATCAAAATTTACCCAAACTTGGAGCAGCTTGAAACCTAAAGAAGGTGTAAAATCAGATCTCTACCCTCTAAAAGAGAGCGAAGTTGGAATCCCAGGCGAGTAAAACATTTGAAAAGGGGATGAAGAAATAGTTAAGGGGTATTCACAAATTGGAAGCCGGGTGAGAATCTCGACTCGGTTGACGCGGAGTGAATTGGGAGGGGGAACAAGTGGATCTCGAGTCCGATGAAAGAAAAAACAAAAATACAAAAAGAGAATACAAAGAGAAGTGGTTGTCAGCGCTTAAAAGAAAGGGACGCGAGTGTTGGTGAGTTGGTAAGCACCGAGTCACTTAGCAATCACAATTTGCCTGCGATTGTTAGAGACAACTCTCTTGGATCACATACCACTGCCTCGTTTTTGTTCTTTCATTTGCAATTTTGGAGCACATCCGATCTGATTTATTTTTGAGTTAATAAGATACCCCAAATTATTATTATTATTCTAAATAATTTTTAAATTTTAGTATAAATTATATCGTTCTTCAATGAACTATCATCTTTCTTATTTTCTTAACTCAACTTTTATTTTTTTATTAAACTCACTTAATTTTATAAATTAAATCATTTTATTTACTCCCTCATTTTTTTTAATGGATGGTGATGTAAACATTTTATTATTATTATTATTTAATATAAAATAATCTTTATTAATTATTGACAACGCACACATACTCACAAATACAACTACTTAAACTTAGAACTTTTAAAAAAAATAACACTAATTTTAACTATTGAAGTCACTATATAAAATATTATTCGAGTCTATATTGATTCTTGATTCTAGTATTTTTTTAAATTGTTTTGATAATGAGACAATATAAATTTTGTACTATATGACATAATCTAAAAAAATATTATATTATTAAAATGACAAAAATACTTATTATTAAAATGATAAAAATGTTACATAATATAAAAATAAAAGATGATCGGATGTCATCGTTGGCCACCATCGACCACTGTAGATGGTGGTCGTTTGGTCCCAAAATGGGATGGTTGTTTCGCCTCGACATCGTGAGTTAGAATCCGACCTCCATTTTTTCGGAAGTTGCTCCGAAGTCCACGAATTTGAGATTGAAAGTGAAGAAATCAAAATGTTTCAGTCCAAATTCATGGGGTTTGAGACAGTTTCCTGTGCAACAACCACTAAATTCGGACTAAGGGGTACAAACAAACCGACCCATCCCATTTTGGGACCGAACGACCACCATCTACGACGATCGACGGTGATCGGAATGAAAATGACGTGGTGGTCCAAATTATTTTTTTTTTTTAATGTTTCAACTATATTTAACTATTTATTTAAAATAATGAGTATACACTTAATCTTTGGAGGGCTAAGTGCGTCCACGCCTAACACACACTTGCAAAAAGCAAACAAGTGCTCGAACTTGTAAAGAGAATTAGGAATGCTTAATAAGTTGAGCAGTTCGAATTTAACTCGGTTAAAATTTGATAAAAGCTTGATTCGGGTTGACTCGAATCGAACTAGAACTCGACTCGAGAGCTTAACGAATTGAATCGAGCAAAGTCTAACTTGACTTAATAAGTTCACGAGAATCTAGTTAAATTTTTAGTAGTTATTTAAAAAAAATATTTCATTCAAAAATTATTAATTCATTAATAGATAATAAAACATGATAAATGACTAATCTATTAATTTATACTATTATTAGACTTTACCTATAGTTAAAAAATAAGATAAAATTTTCAGTGAGCTTAACAAACATGAGTCGAACAACAAGCTTTTTTAACTAGCATAAAAAAATTAGCTGACCTTATTCCCATATGTAATGGGGTAAGGGGAGGTAGAGTAATAGGCTGCCCCTAACACTAGATTGAGAGCAACTTCCGTGGAAGACCTCCGACAAGTATGAATTGCCCACCGTGAGATTTTTTTAACTAATATAAGTCGAGTAAAAGTTTAACGAGTTTAACGAGCAATGAGTCGAGTCGAGTAATAATTTTTTTTAACGAGTACGAGTCGAGCACAATACTTTCTTTACTACTCACACCATCCAATACGATTAAATCCTCCTATAATTTAATTTTTTCTTTATATGTTTTACTAACGATTTAATTTATATTAAATTTTATAATTTTACACGTCATAAATTACAAATATAATTTTCCACCAAATATTTCTGTTGGGGAAGCTCGATGTTTCTACTCCAACGCGCGATCTTCTCCACGACCGGCAGTTGACACTCGGTGGCGCAATTTTTCGGCTTTTTGCTGGTGGTCTCTGACTGTGACTCCGCTTTGTATTTTCTTTTTGGGTAAATTATGCATTTAGTATTTAAATTATTAATTTTAATTTTTTTAAAATTATACCTTATTTTAATATCACTGTTCAAAATTTAACGTTAAGTTTTTGAAAAAAAAATTAAAAGTTTAGATAGTAAAACATATCAAAATTGATAATTTATGTACTAAATGCGTTAAGTTTTTAACGGTGAGATAGTAAAATGAAACAAAAATTAAACATTATTTATAGTTTTAAAAAAATTATAAGTTTAAGTACTAAATATATAGTTTACTCTTTCTTTCTTTTTAAATCTAAAGTCAATAACCACGTTGACTAAACCAAAAGCTACATCACATATCTTCATGTTCAAGTTTTCTACAAAAAAAAAAAACCGTAGCCTGGAAAGTTCGGACCAATCATGTCGTGTCTAGCGAGACCTTGAGGATGTTGTTCAATTCCAGCGATATATTCGCGCGATGTTTGAAAAAAAGAAACAAAACACTTGTTGTGCCAACGTGTATCGAACATTCCGACAAGACGATATAAAATCAGGAGTTCAACTAAAGCTTAACTGATCATGTACATCAACCATTAGCTCATCCAGTATTGCTTCCAATGGCGGCCATGAAAGACTTTGAGCAGAACAGAGAGATCGAGGACAAGCTGGGGAGCACCGTAAATTTAGCTAAACGTGTGTTCTATGCATTCGATGAAGTAGAAGCCATTTTGCTGCCAAAAAACAGGCAGGAAATCGAATCTTTGTTGGAACAGAGGCTTGAGGCAGAGAAGAGAGTTGAACTGCTGTTTCCTGCTGAAGACCCTGCTCAAGTTCATCACGACCGCCAAGAAACCGCTCTACTTGCGTCCGGTCGACGTTATACTCGACGAGGTTCATCGGATCCTGAACCACGCCCTGGATATCGTCACCGAGTTCGACTTCAAGAGCTTGATCGCTTGGTTCTTTAATGCCCCGAAAGCTTCCGATTTCCGACCACTCTTCCGCAGTTTAGACGATTGTATCGCCAACGTTAAGTGGCTTCTCACATGGTATGACCTCGTTAGCAATGGTGGTTTTGAGGGAAGTGTTGTCTCACTCCCTCCATTCATCGTTCTTAATCCGATGTTCCTAGTGATCTGGCATTGCATCGCCACCGTTCGGACGTCCCACCGAGTAAGCGATCAAATCGATGCCGTTAAGAGCCTCGCGTCGCTCGCCCTAGACAACAAGTTGTACAAGAAATACATCGTTCAAGAGCAGGGTCTGCCTCCATTGGTAAAGCTTTTGGAAGACGGGGCTTGCCTTTATGCACAAATTGCCGCGGCTGATGCATTATGTGTATTAACCAATGACCAAAACATCATGGATAAAGTCATGATTGTTATCCTTCGTTTACTCAAGGATGCGCCAATTGAGGTTCAAATTCAGGCAATCGAGTTAGTGACCGAAATGGCCGAGCAATACTCGATAACCGTATACGATTCCGTCGAATGGAACGTGATCTTGCCAATCGTAACGTTACTGTCAGCCGAGACATCTACCGACGAACTCAAAACCTGTTGCGCCGAGGCCTTGTGGACGCTCGCAGCTAAGAGCAAAACAAATTGCATGACGATAACAAAGACAAGAGCAATGCTTAGCCTGGCCAAGTTAGTAGAGAAGGAACGAGGTAAATTACGGTACTATTGTCTGATGACTATAATGGAAATAACCGCCGTCGCCGAAACCGACATCCACTTCCGATGCACCGTATTCAAAACCAATGCCGCTTCCACAAAAGCCGTCGTCGATCAACTCTTGGGAGTGATCGAAGAATCACGTAACCCTATACAGCAAATCCCGGCCATCAGATCGATCGGTTCCCTTGCCCGAATCTTCCCGTCACACGAGACTCGGATAATTTCGCTCCTGATATCATTACTACACAACAAGCACCTGACGGTGGCATCGGAAGCCGAGATCGCCTTGAAAAAGTTCACATCTCCGGACAACTACCTCTGTTTCGATCACTGGAAGTCGGTAATGAAGTTCATTAGTTTACCGGCGTTGATGAGATTGATCGGAGGCGGAAATAGGCTGCAGCGGCATAGATGGGATCTATTGATCATCCTTTACCTTTTTTATCTGTACCAGCATTTACGAGGATCCCGTCATTAGGTAACAAACCGGCTGATAACAATTGGGTGGACATTGATTATCAATCTCTAGCATTTTTCCCATGGCGAAACTATGAGTTCCTGTTTCTTCCTGCCTAGCTATGTGTTATCTTGTATATATATATATATATTTGTACATACATACAAATCAATATAAAAAACGTACCACATTAGTATATCGTTATCTCGGTAACGACGGTTAACAGCGAATGATCATTTTATTATAAATCGATAATATTAGTGATCAATATGTTATTTTTAAAATTTTAGTGATAAATCAATAATATTTTTATTGAGGGTAGAGTACACAAATGGTTCCTCCACTGAGAGTATTATTTTATTGAGTTCTTCGAGCATTAAAAGTTACAAAACGATCCATGACTATAGGACATTTCGTTTTTAAGTTCCCTTAGTTTTTAAAGTTATAAAATGGTCACCCAACTATGCATTGTGTTCCAAACTCACCCTTTTTCATTAAAAAAATGATGATAGTTAGAATTGAATATTAATCTGTTGACTGTAATATAATAGTCGTTTGAGATTCTTAATCCATACTATATCAACATGTTAATTTTTATTCAAACTGTCATCAATTTTTTAACAGAAAAATATGAGTTTAGAATACTATAAATAGTCTGATTATCATTTTATAACTTCTAATAGTCAAGGGAATAAAAAAAGCAACGTCTTATAGTCAAATGATTATTTTATAACTTTTAATAGTTTAGGGACTCAATAAAGTATCACCCTGTAGTTGGGAGACCATATATGTACTTTACCCAATTGTTTATTACTTTTCTCCTGAAAGAAATAATAGTAATCTAAATTGTCATTTTCCCCTACATCCAGATAATAAAAGGTTTTGTCTGTAGAAACTCGCGTTACAGGAAGTTCATCTTCGAGTTCTGCAGGCGATATCGCGCGATTAAACCAAACTTTCCGAACAAGTAACTGGCTTTGCCCAGAAATTTCTTCTCCAAATCGCGTCAATCTTATCAGGTTTTCAATTAAAAACCATATTAATAACATATATATGAAGGTTGATAGAGAGTTGAGTTAACTCACCCATAGTCCACGAAGAAACTCATCAGCAAGACAGCAACTACGATGCAATCGGAGCAGGAGCAGATAATCGACAAACTCTTGCTTCATCCGATATCATTAGATAACCGAGTCAACGAAGCAGGCAGTAAAGCCAAATCGTTGAGAGTTCACGGTATGAAGATGAGTAGGCAAGTGACTCAGCTCACTCAAATGCTACACAGCATCAACTCAGACCCAGCACCGCTCTACTTGAACTCAATCCGCTCTGTTCTTGAAATGGCCTAATCGTTGGCCTTCAAGTGTCAACGAAAAACCACCTTTTACCCGCTCTTCACCGCCCCTAGACCTACAAGTTTCCACAATCTCCACCTCCTTTTGGACGCTTGCATCTTCCAAACCAACCGGCTTCTTATCATCAACGACCCCGATTTCGATACCGTCCACTGCGACGAAATCTTCCGCTCGCTCCCTCGGATAATCCTCAACCACGGGTGGTCGAGGATTATACGATTGCATCTTCGGTGAGGAATAGTATGATAAAAGAGTTGGAAAAACTATTGTTTTGCTTGGCTGAGAGTGGATTAGAATTACACAGTTTACACTTACACAATCGGTTGATGATTCTAGTGGAAATCACTGCCGCGGCTGAATCAAATCTCGATCTCCGATGCAAAGCATTCAAGACTCACTCTCCCGGTGCAAACGCCACCGTCGAACTCCTATTGCGTGTGGTCAAAGAATCAGATGATTGTGGTTTAAAGTTCTGGCCATAAAATCGATCGGTTCCTTGGCCAGAATCTTTCGTGAGAGCGATAATCCTAAGGTGATAAGCGCCTTAGTGCTGCAGCTTGAGAACGGGGATGGGGACGTGGTGACTGGTGAGTGAAGCTCTGGTCGCGTTATTGAAGTTTTTATGCGGATGTAATCATCTTTGCATAGAGCATTCGAGCAGGATGATCGAGTTCAACGCTGCACGGGTTTTGGTGAAACTGTTGAGCGATGGTGAGAGGGAATTAGGGGTGCAATTTCATGGATTCGTGCTTATATGTTCCATTGCCTTGAATGCTGATTATAGCGCGGGTGTGGAACGAGCCTGGATCGAGACTGCCATTCGACGGTTGTCGACGACGAAGAGGGGACTGCGCACGGTGGTTTCCGAGCATCCTGTGCTAAAAGAATTGGCAACCACGGCCATAGGGCATAGATTGCTCTGAATCAAGGCTAATTAGTAAATTGAGATTTAATATAGAATACATTGATTTGTTTATAATTTTTTATTTTTTTTTATTTTGAATTAATAAAGGAGGCAAAAGCCTTTTACATTATAAAGGTATCTATCCTGTGATTGGACGAACCCAGAAAACATCATGTGAGAGATGTTTGAATATCAGGTGAGGCTATTGAGGATATACGTAAAAATCCATTGTTATAATATTCTGATTTTACAATCAGTAACATCTGTTCTAAAGACTCTTAATTATTTTATAATAAATATTCAAATATCCTACAATTATTAGTATTCGACTCCTTATTTACTAATGTTACATTTGAAATTGATCTTATTTAAGATTTTAAATTCTAAATTTGTCTATAAAAAGCATATCTAATTGTATTTACTTCTATAATTGATTTTTCCGTATATGTATATATATGCATAGAAATTGCCCGTCTAGCTCAGTTAGTAGAGTGCAAGGTTTTTAACTTTGTGGTCGTGGGATTGAGCCCCACCGTGGGCAATTCATAATTCTAACTGCCGGAGGCCTTCCACGGAAACTACTCTCAACCTGGCGTTGGGGGCAGCCTACTACCTACCTCCCCTTACCCCATATGGAAATATGGGTTTGACATTTTTTTTATATATATGCATACCCTATATTTACAAACATGCATAATATATATATATATATATTTAATTTTTAACGTCAACGCATAATATATACACCACAAACACCTCTGTGCATGCTTCAACTCCAGGGTTATAAGAAAACCCTAAAATGAATTCAATCTAGACCGTTGGATTGGACCATAACCAACGGCTCTTACTTGGCGGCGCTGGAAACCATCAGAAACCCTAATGGTCTCGGTCATAATGTGTGAGCCTTGGGTCAAATGGTCGGGTCAATGACTTGATTCCTTTGCATTGTATTTGGGCTTCAATGTAATTGATGTGGGCTGTAAACAACATGTGATAAAAGTTAATATTTTATTTCAATGTATCTATATATATATATATATATATATAATTTTTAACGTTAACACATAATATATACACTTACAAATACCATACATATTTTTTACGTATATATATGCATACCCTATATTTACAAACACGCATAATATATGAACATCTACACACCTATAATATAACATAATATATATTTATATATTTACGATATATTTGTCATTATAATTAACAAAAGTAAATGAAACCCAAACATAACCCCTGACAAATTGCATATCTACACTAACATCAAAAGAATCCAAAAATCTTCAGTAAAATTCATTGTTTCTGTTGAACGAGACGTTTTACGAAATGATAAAGGTGCGGTGAACGAACCAAATTATCTGGCAGTCTATTTCGCTATACAATTCTTATTATATCGGTAAACAACATTTTACCAAAGAAGAGATTTGACTATACTTGACCATCGACAAACCAATCAAAAAAATATCATTTGTGTGAGCAACAAAACGACCTCAAAGGTATGTGAAAAACATACCAAAAGCCATAAGGATCGTGCCATAAAAGCATAGAAAACATATGTCACAAGAGCTGATAAAAACATGTCATAAAAACAAAAAATATTATTCAAATAAAAAAAACACTTAAGAAGAAAAGAAAACAAATGACATGGTATAAAAAATAAGAGAACTAATAATTACCGATGATTGATAATTAATATTAAGATTAACGTCGACTCCAAGTTTAAGGAGGTTACATTTGATTTATTTATTTTAGTAAAAATTTATATTCGATTTGATATAAATATATATATATGGGTTAAGTAAAACTAATAAGTTTTGTACTAATTTAAAGGTTTAAAAAAAATTAGATGACTCTATTCTCATATGTAATGGGATAAGGGGGAGGTAGGATAGTAGGCTGCCCCCAACGCCAGGTTGAGAGAAGCTTCCGTGGAAGACCTCCGTTATTAATTGCCCTCAGTGGGACTCGATCCCTCAACCACAAGATTAAGAACCTTGTGCTCTACCAACCGAGCTAGACGGGCAAGACTAATTTAAAGGTTTAAGTTGGATTTAAATTATTGTTTTTTAAATAATTAAATTATATCAGGTTTAGTTTGATGATTGGGTAGTGTAAGGGAATTTCATCGACTCCACCTACCGCCGACTTTTTTAATATTATTATTATTGTTTGCGGATTCACCAACGCCTAACCATTGAGACAAGATAAGAGCCAGTGATATTAATATGGTTAAATTATAAATTTATTACTAAACTTTGCTCTCTCATTTATTTTGTTCATTGAACTTTAAATTTTTTTAATGTTCTCACTGAATTTAAAAACATTGGATTCTTTTGGCCACTGAACTTTACTCTCTCTCCTATTTTGGTCATTCTACCATTAAATAGTTAATGAAATTAAAGATGACACCGTTTTAAAAAAATAAAATTTGCACCAAAACATCATTTTTTGGGATAAAATGCGCATATTCCATACAAAGAAGAAGCAGGTCTAGGAATATGCAATGGGAACCAAACCCACTCCTGCCACATCATTTTGCATCCATATAACTATTCATTTTAACTTCGTTAACTATTTAACGACCGAGTGAAAAACTCCCTCAATGTATTAAGTTCAGTGAAAAAATTGAAAAAGATTTAAAGTATAGTGAGTGAAATAAGAGAGAAAACGAAATTCAATTACCAAATCTGCAATTTTCCTATTAGTATATGCTAACATCATTTCTTCTGTTTTTATTTATTTTCACATTT